AAGGGCCTTCCAGAAGGCCAGCAGGGTTGAAGCCAGCCTCATCTCAGGAGGAATGATGTTCCACAGGGTGGGGGCCACGGCAGAAAAGGCTCATCTCCTGGCTGATGGGACCTGCAACATGCCTCTCCTGACAGACCTGATGGGACAGGTAGATGTAGCCAGGGAGAGGCTGTCCCTCAAATATTCTGGTCCCATGCCATGTAGGGCTTTAAAGGTTATATCCAGCACCTTGAATTGGACCCAGAAGCAAACTGGCAGCCAATGCAGCTTGCGCAGCAGAGGTGTAACGTGTGCAGTTCTTGGAGCACACATAACAGCCTGTGCCACTGCATTTTACACCAGCTGAAACTTCTGGATATTCTTCAAAGGCAGCCCCATGTGCATTTTAACGTGCTAGAGATTGTTATTCCTTCATATATATAAAAATGAAACTATAAAAGAATCTTGTTGATATACACTGATTTTGGGAAACACAAGCATTATGCTAAAATTTCTCTTGGAAGCAATTTGATCAAGCATTTCATCTTCCTTCCTGAGATGAATTATCAAAATACAAATTCAATGTTCAACTCATGCCAGTTCAGCATATCTTTTCTGAATGTATTTGCAGACAGATGACCGGCTTCCCACATAGATTCTGCTGTATGGGGAAAACTAATTCACTGGGGAGAAAGTTCTAGAATACCTTTCTTAATCTGCTAGCGTTCAATATAGTTTCCTACTAGCAGTTTAAAATTGTTCAGTAACAGGAATTCTACCACATGGTTTATTTAATTAATCGTATCATTTTTTTCTTACAAATACTTCTCACAAGCCAGGAAACTGAGACTATTTTTTGTCCTTCCATTCCAAGTATGCAGTTTTATTCACCTCTGCAAGTGATTTAGGACTTTCTCTATTGTATGGAATTGTATATGGTACTCTGGATAGTTACTGCTCTCTGCCTATGACATACTGCTGCCTGAATTATGAAAGTTAATCTAGAGAGGCCTCTGCCTTGGGAGTTGCCAAACATAAGCTGAATGATCTAAGAACCTGTAGAAAAGCCATAGAAAAATTAATTTGCATGGTTAAAGATATAGTATTTACTTTAAAATAACTAAATAAACTTATCTATAAAAATTCACAAAGATCAAGGAAGAAACTAGATTGCTTTACAAAATATGATAGAATTTGCAAAATCCCCAAAAAGTAAGGTACCTCCTTGGTACGTCTTCCTTCTCACATAATCATTTTTTATGAAAAATATTTTAGACCAAATTTTGACATCAATGCTAGGGCAGTATCCGAGTAAACCAATACTTAATATTTAGTTACAGTGGTACCTCGGGATACGAACTTAATCTGTTCCGTGACTCTGGACGTATCCCGAGTTGGTCGCAACCCGAAGCAAATTTTCCCATAGGGTTCAATGTAAATCCAGTTAATCCGTTCCGCCCTCCGGCCGAATTTGGTCGCAACCCGAGGCAATTTTCTCTTCAGAGCCTTACTCCCGCCAAGCCTGC